AAACGCTTAACATTGCCTCTTGAGGTAGAAATTCTGGATTGGAGGTCGGGATTCCATGCTCTACGCATCCAAGCCATTGGCGCTTCCTCGTGCGGTTTAAGTAGGGAACACACTTCTCGTTACCAGCGATTAAGTCTTCCAGCCATGCGGAGGTGCGTCGGAAAGTCATCAAGTTTAGGCATGAACCCCTCTTCATTTGGAGGTGATGGCCACAACTAATCCATATCTCCGAATCTCCATGTCTTTCCGAGGCGACGCAAATGGACAGCTGCTGTGTCGTGATGGCTATGAGCTCCTGTTTCAGCTGACGGGGACTACACCTGGAATTCTCTTCAACCAGTTCCAGGAGGTGGTCGTCATTCAGGTCAATTGGTCTCCCAGACAGTATTTTTTCGGTCTAGTCAAAGTGGCCATTTTTGAACTTGTTGTACCAACATCTTGTTATGCTGTTAGAGACAATAGATGGTCCTATCGGATCGCATATTTCCCTTGTCGCCCAATTTGAATTAAAGTTTTTTCTGAACTTACAAAGTAAAGGCAGTCTGACTCGCTTTAGGTCGAGAGCGATTCTTGCAGCCATAACCGTTGCGAAATGCTACGGCAGATATGGTGTGGAAAGCGCATTGACCTGCACTTACACATATTCCGCAGTGAAGGCTCCAGAGCAAACCCCAAAGATTTCACAACATGGAAACCAAAAATCGCAAATACTTTTCCGACAACCTAATAATTTGAAGCTCAGGGTCTCTACCGTCGTTATATCAATGTACTACCCTTATCCTGTTATATCCTTATTGCGGGGATATGAAGACAAAGAAGGACGCTTTTGTAACACTTCCCTACTACCTGGTTCGACATTCCATCAAGTGAAGATTCGTATAAACAACGGGAATCGTGGGATCCACAATCTATGTTTGAGACGCAGGTGGTCCGCTACGGTTCTGAACTCCTTAACCTTGGCCTATCCTTCACTACCTACAGTATACCTGCGAAAAAGAGTAACAGGACAGCTGCTAAAAGAATCAGACCATAAGCTGAGAATTTAGGAAATCTGCAATGTCGCTGAGACCATAGCAAGTCTTGCGAAGTCAGCAAAGAGTATTGCAAATGCGGATGCATACAAAACACGGTTGGAGAATTTGAAAGGATTAACTAGAAGAGCCTTGGGATGCGGATAAAGGGCGAGCAACGAGTTGAAGAAAGACTAGAGGGAAAATAAACCTGGAAAGCAAAACAGCTCTTTCTAGAAATCAGCAATCCACAAGGGTGTATATGAAAGGCGGCTTAACTAGAAACAGGTGTTTCTGCCGATCCGTACATGCTACTGATTGTAGGATACCCTAGTGAGCAGTAGACCATGGCCGTAAAAGTAGGTTTAGAGTGTTCAGAGCTAATTTTTCTCAACACTGCAAGAGTAACTGTTCTGCAGCATTCAACTTCCACAGAGAATTTCCCTACGCATGAGCGAAAGCTTTTAATGAAAAGTATATGTATGTATTGTTCTGAAGTATACGAGAGTCCAAGCGAAAAGGAGCTTGCTGAGGGAAAAAAGAAGGTATTTATTTCAAAATAGGGACTGGGTGAAAGCTAGGGTTATGAATATTCCAGTAACTGCGTGGGAATTGAGATTATGACTATTTGATGTAAACCGGAAGGATACATTTTGACGTAAATGTGAGACCTACTGATGGAATTCCTGACAAATTTCCGATGCAGTAATTTCACTTATGTCACATGCTTCATTTGGCATTTCGAGCAAGTAAAAACTGTTTTTTTACAGTTTTTTCTTAGACCAGCTTGCTCACGAGCGGATTTAGTTTGACAAGGTCCTAGTGAAAAGAACAAAAGCTAGAGAATCAAGCAGAGACTGAGTGGTTTTGTTAGCTGCAGTTATTTCTCCGCAGTACGCAATGCGGAGAGACAAGGGCACGGTGCCCGGATAGCACAAGCGGGGTTCGAGTTTGGTCGCAGGCCGAAATTGGGCCCGTAAATCGCCCCAAAAACAATTTTTCTTTTGCGAACGCGTGTGTGAGCGATGTTGAACACACAATATGTGGCTGTGCGTTCATTCAGCATTCTTTTGAAGTATCTACTCACTCTACTATTTCGGCAGATCCTGCCCATTCAGGTTCACCTAGATATCAAATCCAAGTGGGAATAACTGTTAGCATCTGCGTGAGAGTAGTCACTATCTCGCGCATGGACCGAGAATCAACTTCCGTACTGGAACTCACATTGGCTGATCCATCCCGTCCAAGTCCGGTAAGTGGCACAAGACTTGTATGGGAGGACAAAGGCAATGGCATGCACATGGCTGGGCACCACAAGTCAGTCAGGTCCCACACATACGCATTAAAGACACCACTGCGATTCTGAAAGGAAGTCTAGTGCGGGAGAGTACCCCGAAAAGGAGAAAATGGCATCGTCTACTGTCGTGGTTCATAGTTACATATATGAGAGAGAATAGCCAGTTGAAGGAATAGAGGCAACATCTTAATATTTAAAATGTAGTCAAATGCTTTTGTATGCACACTAATGAGGCATTTCTGCGTCGAAACATTTACCCACAGCATATAATTGGATTCGAAGTGCTTTTGTCCCTGAAAACAGCGTGGGCACAATTAAACTGGCATTTGTGCATGTGTGTATGTGCCATTTTGTATATGATTATATTAAAGTGTGCACCTCCACCTAAATGATGCCCATCCATTCAAAGCCGAGGAAACGTGACTAATGCTCCCCCATATAAAGATGTAGATTGGCAAAAAAGATCAGATTTCTTCTGAATGGTTTGAGATCCCTGGTCTGTATTTCAGGAAAGAATTAGTCAAGTGCACGTTCAGTTTTGTGCAGGATATCATTATGGGGAAAGGAACGCAAGGCAATCCACACAGAGAGCTATTTAAATTTTCAGTTTCTCTTGCTGTAGCACTGCTTGATGTAACATAATGAGTAAATGTAATTACTTCATAGGCGGAGGTGGTCAATATAGTGGCAAGTGGGGTACTATCAAACACGCATGGTCACGGGTTCGCATCCCAGCTCATTGTCGCCTAAGTCAACCAAGCATTCCATCCTTCCTGGGTCGCTTAATTGTCATGGCTTAATTGACCAACTATAATAGTCTGGGAGGATAAGAGCGCTGGCTACCATAACTGCTGGCCACCGCATGTCATTGTAATGACCTAAACACATTCATTACGCCGCTAAGATTTTGAATGGGAACCAAATTCGGGAGCCATACCTCAGACGGGTTTGATTAACGCCCGGAGACTTCATTCTTTATCCCTTCATACATAGATGCTCATGACGCCTGGTTCAGACTGGTCTAGGCTCAAGTTCGACCGAAAAGCCGAAAATTCAGTTGGAAGCATGATTGCCAATTCCATACACGAGAGATTGACACAAATATAAATCAAGGAAAGGACTGTCTTGGCAGGGTCTGAAAAGATGTGTAACGAAGGATTTGCGCGTTCAGTGAGGTGCTTCCTTCGGGGACATTATCAAGGGAATATCGCTCTCACCACAAAATAAATACTTCCTTATCTTCAACGAATACCTTGAAGATTTGCTTTCCTAACG